ATAACCCTGAGTGCTCAAGAAATTAAATAGACTATATACTTGAAAATGAGACGACATTTCCTGGGGCAGATATTGGATCTAATCATCAACCACTTGTGGCAGATATTAAACTTAGGTTAAAACGAATTCAGCGAAAAAGACCATAAACCAATAGATTGTACTTAACCTTGACGGTAAACCAGTACTTAACTTTGACGATATAAACATAAAACATGACATGACAAGGTGCGACGAAATGGAGGATGTAATATCTAAACACGACTTTTAATGCACAAAAAACTAAAAGAAATGAGTAACATATTTAAAAAACGAGTTCCCTCTATACTCGTTGACAATAAGAACAAAATTATTGAAAATGAGCACGAAATAAGAAACGAATGGCAGCTGTATATATCAGAGTTGTTTGAAGATGACAGGAATAATATTCCGAATTCTATTAAAACCCTACTGACGGCCCAGAAATTATAAAATGCAAGGTAGAACATGCTATAAATAATGCTAAAATTAGAAAAGTTTGTGGTCCAAATGATACACCAACTGAGTTGCTGAAACTAATAGAGGATGATAACATAAAAGTAGTCGTAAGACTTTTTAATTCAATATATAACACCGGAGTGATTTCCAAAGATTGGCTCAAATCCATCTTTGTTCCAATAACTAAAAATTTTCTTAAGAATACTTCACAAAAGAATTAGACGCAAATGCGAAGATCTCGAAGTTACACAATTTGGTTTTAGAAACCAAAGGCATTCGATAAGGTACAGCATGTAAAATTAATGCAAATACTGAAAATATCGGAATATATGACTAGGAAATTCGTGTCATTAAACATTTGTAGTGGAATCAAACTGCTATCTTAAAAATTGAAGATAACTGCACCGATGAAATCTATATACAACGAGGAGTCAGACAAGATTGCATTTTGTAGCCAACATAGTTCAATGTTTACTCGGACCAGTTATTTAAAAAGGTACTTGAGAGAAAACCATATAGAATAAAAATTAACGGGGCTTAATGTAATTAGATATGCAGACGATACAGTGATTTTCTCAGATAACATTGAAGGTCTCCAAAATCTGCTTGATCGTATTCACGAGGTAGGAGAGGAAGTAGGCATTAAAATAAACTCAAACAAAACAAAATTTTTAGTGTTTAGTCGTGACCCACATCCCGATATAAGGCTTCAATTAAACAGTGATTACTAAGCGTCAACAACGATAGAAAACTGCTAAAGACTGTTAAACATCAAAAAATGTCTTATCTGGGGAAGTCGATCTTCTTAATGTCTTAATGTTTTTAATGTCTTAAAATGTCTTAAGGGGAAGTCGATATAAAATAATACAACTGATTCTTAAAGGCAAAATACAGGGACGTAGAGATGTAGGAACAAAACCAGTTTCAAATGCAGGACAATTATTTCTTATTGTAGAACATCAAAAACCCTTCGCAATGGTTATCGCCAAAGTAGGATTATTCTGATATGGCACGCGAAGAAGAAGAAGTAAGGTTATGGTAGCCTGGGTATAGCAGCAAAAGGGTCATACGAACAATGAAAAAGAAGATGAAATGGCAAAACAACGCTCGTCAATGCCGTTCGTTAGACCTGAACCCTTCTGCGGCGTTGTTAAGGCAGTAACAAGAATGGGTCCCCTGCAAATCTGTGTAATGGTGGACGAATTTAACAGGACAAACGCAGGAGAAGCATTTCATTGTAAAACATTTGCCAACATTTACGGCAGACCTAATTAGCAAAGACAGGAAAACAGTCAAAGCCATAATAGGTGATCTGAAAGGACACTGTAAGTTAAATAGGCATTTAAAGCTGATGGGATCAGCAGATTATTTAAACATTTAACAAATAATTTTTAACACTTCCACTGAACACTGACAAGTTTTTATTTTTATTGTAAAAGGCGACAGCTATGCCATCTACCTCTATAATTCATTGTAGCATTAATTCGTCGAAAAATATAGCATACTGTTAGTAACTTGCTTCATCAGAAAAATGAAATAATAAATGAGATAACTGGTGGCCTGAAGTTCTTGTCGTTTTTTCTGCTTGCCACTATAGTGTATTTTTATGTATGAGAGGGTAATAAAACAATAAATTATGTATGCAAATCCCTAAACTGTTGATACGGGTGACTCAATGAAAAACAGATATTTGTCAACAAGTTTACAGAAGTATATAGGAAAACAATTTTAAATTGAGTATGACCACCAGGTATAAAGGTTGGAGCAGAATAGAATACAATAGTTGTGAGGGTTACTAATCCCTAAATAAGGTTGCCAGTGTCGAAGTGATGGAGGTTAACAGGTACTAATGAATTTGCAACAAATGTAAGATGTTTATTTTATTGGTTATATAAAACCAATAAAAGTTTAATAAGTACCTACCTATTTGCAAAATAAAGTTTAATTCTTTAGATAAAATAAAACGTTTTATTTTATCTGAAATGAGTGCATTCCACGAAGTAAGGGTTTCAACAATCAAACATTTAATTCTTTAATTCCAGGAATCTACGACAGTAATTGACTAGATAATTACCTTCTAAACTTATTCCACAGAAAATGTGTTAGTGGGTTTTTCCATTTTGTAGGAAGGTCCAAGTGGCGTATTCAAAATTCTTAACAGTTGACTAAAAGTAGGTACTTCAGTTGCAAGGTGCAGTTTATTGTGTATACTAGTGTTATGGAAAATTTGGAAGTGCCGTGTAAACGCCGAAAAATTGGTCCTTTAACAGTTAATGAAAAAACATTAATATTTAATTGTTTTAAATCATTTACAGACAAACGTTTATGTGAAAGTGTTGATGAGACCGTTGAGTTAGTTAGCAGTACACTTGGTGTTGGGAAATCTACGATTTACAGAGTTATTAAAGAAGAGAAATGTGGTAGTTTTCAAATGCAACATAATGCTCCAGGGAAACCAAAATTTCAAATAGAATATCATTTTAAAGAAGGAATTCGACGAAAAGTGCATGAATTTTTCTTTAGACAAGAATTTCCAACATTGGATAAAGTTCTTGTCTCAGTTCGAGATGATAAGGATTACCCAGAAATGAGTCGAAGTACGTTATGGAAACTTTTAAAAGAAATAGGCTACCGCTGGAAAAAGAATCCCAGAAAGTCTATTTTATTAGAAAGAAGCGATATTGTCATATGGAGAAGACATTTTTTAAGAACCATAAAGGAAATGAGAAACCAAAAAAGAAAAATATTTTATCTTGATGAAACATGGATCAACCAATGTCATACACCAAATAAATTTTGGCAGGATGAAACTGTTACAAGTCAAAGGCACGCTTTTTTAAATAACTTATCTACTGGTTTAAACCCACCATCAGGAAAGGGACGCAGGCTGATAAAAGTACACATTGGCAGTTCAGACGGTTTTGTTGAAGGTGGTTTATTAACTTTTGAATCAACTCGTACCGGTGACTACCATGAAGACATGGACGCTGATGTCTTTCATGAATGGTTCGAACAAATGATAGATCTTCTTCCTAAGAACTGTGTAATAGTAATGGATAATGCAAGTTATCACTCCAGACTTATAAGTTGCATAAGACTTGCAGAATTGGCTGAGTTCAAAAAATATTACGTACCATCCCGGATCTATAAGAAAGGAACTTTATTCGTTGTGTGCCCTTCATAAAGAAAAATTTAAAAAATGCGAAATTGATGAAATTGCCAAAAATCGTGGAATGACAGTACTTAGATCCCCACCATATTATTGTGAATTAAACCCGATTGAACTGGTATGGGCACAGATAAAGAGTGAAGTTTCAAGAAAAAATACCTCTTTTAAAATTCATGATATTAAACAGTTGTTTTTGGAGGCCATAAATAATGTAAAACCTGAAAACTGGGAAAAGGCAGTAAATCACACTATTAAAGAAGAGGAAAAAATGTGGAAGCTGGACAATATTACTGATAAAATGATCGAGCCAGTTATTCTAAATCTTGGTTCTGAAAGTTCATCTTCTGAATCTGATTTGGATTTGTAACAAGTAGCTGTAAGTTTTATATTAATATTTTTATTTATCTATTTAACATACCTTAGACGGTTTTAAAAACTCTTTTTCTCTTTTGTAATTTTTAAAAATTAAAAAAAATGTGAATTTTTTAAAACCCTTTTTAATGTAGGCCAGTCAGTTCTAATATAGTGTGTGATAAAAGAGGTCACTTTTGTTTACATACACATAACACTTTATAACACTGAAATAATTCATTTATTTTTTACAATTATTCAAAGTAATTTTTCAATTAATCTTGAGCACGCCCATGGAGTGGTCGGAGGTACCAGTTAAAATTATGCTAATTACTCTCTCGTTCATAAAAATAAACTATAACTTATGCAACATATACTGCTTTCTCTGCTTACTACCAATATATGTAAAATAGGCTACAGCTGATTTTTTCAACAATATTTCTTGTACCAGTATTATTTTTATTCAATCTATAAAGGCCAATAAAAAAAAGATTGATAACTCAGAACTAAATCTACCTTTTTCATTTTATGGCACACTTATACTTCCCCAGTATTATCTTTTGCAGCAGGTTCCACTAAGATCACGGATTTATCTTCTACCCTTCTTTTTGACGTCCAATTCTGGGGTCTTCGGCTATTGTAAACAGCCACTCATTACCTTTTTTGGTACTGTCTCAACGAAATGTCTGTCTCCAATACTCAAAACCGATAAGCAATCTCAGGGTCATCAAGTGTTCTTCTAATGCGTAGTACGAAGCAATACCCTACATTTTGTTAAATTTTATTCATAAACTTAGATATTATTTTTAAATTCTCTGTCATCAAAACAGAGAAGAAACAGAATTAAGGAGAGAAAGAAAATAGTTCTCCCCTTCGAACAACTTTCTGCTAATGTAAACAAAACCTCGTAGTGCTTTAAATTACTATTTCAAAATGCAAAAAGATATAAACCATATCGATTTTTGTGATCTACTTTGTAAAAAAAATGTGACAGTGAAATACGTACCTTTTTCTGTCTTAATTTAATAGCTAACTTCAGTCTATTTAAGTGCATTCTATCCCCATGTTCGAAGGCTGGTCCAGTTGGATCATGATTCAAAAGAACCTCCAGTTCATAAGAACTTCTTGTGTGGTCCAGGAGAGCAGTTGCAAAATCCTGGCATTGCTTTCTTAATTCCTGGTACTCACTTTTAAATTCGTGTTCCATAAAACTCAGTCTGAAAGAATATAAATTATTAAAATACTAAAACATTATACACCCTATAAAATCTTAACTACTTATTCGTAAAGTCCTAGAGAAACATATTTTAACCTATATTTGAAATTAAAGTTTCTGACTAGGACCGAATTCGATACTATAACTTTATAATCTTACATCGAAGTGTGAACATCACACAGCTGAGCGATGATCAGCATTAAGATATATAATGGGTGTCCCAAAAAGATTGGTCATAAATTATATCATTATACCATTATATCTCTGTTTTTGTGACTATGCCAAAGCTTTTGATTGTGTAAATCACAGCATTTTGATAAAAAAACTAAATTGGTTAATTACTTGAGGAATAGGAAACAACTAGTTAGGGCAAAAAATACTGATTTTAGTCACAAAAGCATTGTATGTGAAGTACCACAAGATTCAGTACTGGGTCCTCTACTTTTCTTATCTTTATAAATGACGTCACTAACTTAAAAATGAATTGAAATTTTTTTTCTGATGATACCAGTATTACCTGGAAGAACTCTAATATTGCAACTCTTCATGCAATTATAACCTCTGATCTACTTAAAATAAAAACCTGGTCTGACTCTAATTTACTCTTTTAACGTGGATAAGACATTAGCATTATGCTCTAAAGGAGCTCTTCAACCCTTGCTTCTTAATAACAGCAATTAGTAACGTAGTTCTGTAAAATTTCTTGATATTTTTGTAGACAGCAACCTTAAATGGTCCCTTCATATCGATTTTTTTAATAAGAAACTAGCCTTAGCCTGCTATACAATTAAATCTGTTTCGAAGGAAATTAATTTAGCATCTTTGAGAATAACGTACTCTTTTTTGTTTGAGTCTCATCATCGATATGGCCTTCCTTTTTGGAGTTCTAGTACAGCTGCCCAATCTGATATTATTTTTAAATTACAAAAAACAGCAAAACGGTATCTTATTGGCCTCAGTAGAGTAACATATTGCAAAAGTTACTTCAAAAATCATGGGATTTTACTCTTCCCTCTCTATATATTGTAGAAACTGTTTTTCGTAAACACCTACGTGTTTTTCCAGCAAGACCTAATCATGGCTACTCCCCCAGAAATTCAAGCTTTGATGTGTACTTACCGATCCCATCCACTGAGTTAGAAAAGAAATCTATATTATATTCGGCAAAAAAATACAACTATCTCCATTTTCAACTTAAATCTACAATTTCTTTCCTAAAGTTCCGTATATTGACAAAAACCTATCTATCGGAAAGACTTTATTCAGTGGAAGAGTTTCTTAATGAATAAGTAAGAAATTACAGTAGGTTTAGGTACAAGCATCGAGTTAGAATCTATGGAGAGGGCATCACGGGACTAAAAACGACCTCACTTCGGCCATATTGTTAATATTGTTTTAACACTTTTGACAGATCGTATATGTTTGTTTACATTAGTTGTTTTTAGAATATTTTTAGTTTTATAATACTTTTATAGAAACTGTAATAATGTATTGTGATAGTGCATAATAATGGTTTCTTGTTCTCACCGTAAGTTGTAGTAGCAGAAGTAATTTTAATAAAAAATTTTCAGGAATATCGTTCCACAGGTTAGTATACAAATATGTAAACAAAGTAATGGCTCGTACTTCAGAGAATAAATTAATAGTATTTGACTGTATTAATTTATCTTTATGCATAATATATCGTGTTTTTAGTGTTTACCGCGGGATAAATAAATGATAGTATATTAAAATTTATTGCACTTTTTTAGATTATGATTAAAACTTCTAAATAACTAATCATATTTGTATAGTAGTTTTAATATTATTGAGTCTGGCCCTGATCCTACCGCCATATTGGTATTATCGTTAGCCATACCTACCTACGCCGTTTGTAATTCATACGTTAATATGCTCATAGCTTCTCCATAGATTCTAACTCGATGAGTACAAGCAACAAGGTATTTTTTGGGTATCAAATGGTAAACTTATTCGTAAACTAGTTCGTAAGGTTTTATTTTGCAATTTGCAATCTAGTGAAATTTTGCAATGAATTGTATATTTAATTATGTTTTATTCTGTGATACTGACGATTTATGTAATTTTAGTAAATTTTAATTGTTATTGTTATTATTATTTGTTTTACTTTTGTAAAATAAGTTTTTCAGTGACAATAAAGCATATTTCTATTCTATTCTATTTTATTATTTTTAAGGATGAAAATAAGTCGATTACGTCAAAAGATGATCTTAGGTGGTGCTAAGTCAATCGCAACATAAAGACGATACCAAGGTCTCGTTGCTCATTATCAGTGAGTCGGAAGTGGGTATAAATATGAATAATAAATTAGAATGGTTTGACAGAAACACACGGTGTAAGCATTGCACCATAACTGCAAAGCTAAATCTGCTGCAATTACTCTTAAGTAAAGATATATAAAGGACCCATATATCAAATTCTTACAGAAAAAAATCAATACAAGAATTAACAAACTCAAAAAAATGGTATTTGATAGAACAAAATAGATTTTTAAATAGACTAAACAGCGGCCACCATACTCCTCGCGAAGTTGATCAACGTTCAGCGAGTACGAGGGTGTAGACAGGTAGTTCATGCGACTTTGCTCCGCCTCGTTCTACTTCCGTTCTGTGTCGGTTTTTTGAGTCCGAGTCAAAGGGCCCAAAGTTTGAATACGAAGTGTCACACTACATTACTCGGTTTTACTTTATTTAGTTTTTTCGGAAATTCAACGAGTATGTAGAGTCACCTTGCCTCGATTAACTTCATTTCGACACTTCTTCCGAAGAACTTCGATCGAGAGTGTAGACGGCGTTTAATACAGAAGACATAAATTATTCGGAAACTCGAAACGGCGCCAAAAGTCGCGTAGGCGGTAATTCTACGACATATAAACAGGTCAGCGGGTAGCATAGAAATATCATGATACAAAAGAATTAAAAAGTTAGGGCAGTTATAAGTAAAAAAAAATGAAAACGTTCAAATGTCAAGGGAATGATGCGGTGACAGCAAGGCATTATGAAAATAAGTATCCTAATAGAAAGTTACCGCACAGATGCATATTACTAGAAATTGATCGGTATTTAAGAACTACTTTACAAAAACAGGTCCGTAGTAAGAGTTGTGGCGCAAAAATCGTGATATAATTAATGACCAATCTTTTCGTGACATCCTGTATACTAGCTAAAATGTGTAAACTTTTGGGTACTTTTGTGCATATGTATGTGTTAATTTTCTATGTTTAATCTTTTATTCTAAGAATAACAAGATGTAGATTAGCCAAAGAGTGTTAAAAAGTCATCATCATCATTCTGGTTTACAACATTACGTGGGTCCTAGCCGCCTAAAGAATTTCTCTCTTGTCGTCCCTATCCATCGCCTTTCTCTGCCAGGCACGTATTCTCATATTTCTCATATCATCATAGATGTTATCAAGAAACCTTGTTCGAGGTCTTCCTCTTTTTCTCCCTGAACTTGGATTCCTTCTTCCTGACCAATGGGTCTATTAAGGAGCATATTTTTAGCTGAGTAATTTTGTTCCATCCGCATTACGTGCCCTATCCACCTCAGACGTCCTATCTTAATATGTTTTACGACATTAGGTTCCTGGTATATTCTATAAAGTTCAAAGTTGTATCGTCTTCTCCACACTTCATTGTACTTTTCTTAGTACTTTTGCCTTAGTACTTTTCTTTCGCAATATCCATGTTTTCATTATTTTTTGTTGGAGTCCAGGTCTCTGAACCATATGTTAGGACTGGGCGTATTATTGTTTTGTAGAGTTTGATTTTTATATTTCTCGATATAGTTGTGGATTTAAGAAGAAGATTGAGATCAAAATGGCATCTGTTATCCGTGCAAATTTTGCGGTTTATCTCTGCGGTAGTATTATTGTCAGTGTACATCGGAAGCAAATATGTCTTTAGTACCAGCAGCTTTTGTGCTGGTTTAAGCCCCGCCCGATGAATACGATCGAGCTGTGTCTGCAGCTCGCTGAAGGCCACCCTGGTCTGTCCCAATGCATTGTACCTTCGACCTAGGTATCCAACCAGCTCACTCGGTTGTAGCTGCCGAATTCTGTCGTTTCCGACGGAAAAGAGAGAGCGAGTTACACAGTAAGAGTGCTTATTACCGCGGTTAACATTAACCGTAATAGCGGCACTCTTACCAGCGTTTATCGACATCCCTCTCTTCTCAAAGAATTCAACGGCTGTCCGAAGCTGTTTGGTACCATTCTTTACCGATTCGGATAGCAGGATTAAATCGTCGACGTAACCCAACACCGAGATCTTCCTGCCATCTGCAATAGGAAGGCCAGGCCCGCCTGCCTCAAGCATGCATATTAACTCATCGACCACCATGTTGAAGAGGTATGGCGACAAAGGGTCTCCCTGTTTGACGCCTCTACACATCTTGATGTTCGTTGTTGATTTGCTTCCGGCAGCAACCCTCGTACGGCAATTCAGATACGAGTCCGCCACATACCGCTTAAATGAAGCGTCTACCCCGAAGCGAGTCATAGCCCGCTCGATTGAACGTTGCGATACCGTGTCGAAAGCTTTACGTAAATCGATGGATATGATAATATGAGGACGAATGCCTCTTCTTCTTTCTTTGATAATCTCTTGATAACCGCTTGATGGTATACAAATTCGTGCACTGCTTCGATGACGTCGTTTTCTATAAGTTGTCTGCTCCCAACAATATTGATATCTGAAGCTATTTTCTTATGGAATTTTAAAGTAATTACTATTTAAATGGAAACAAGCCACAATTAAAGGTTAACGTAAGTTTAGTGACGTTTCAATTTCGACTTCGGAAATCGTACCCAAAACAAAAAAAAATTATTTTGAGAACGATTTCCAATTTCTCATTTAAATAGTAATTAATATTGATATCATCAGCATAGGCCAAGATATGCACTGAATTATTATACATTGAACCAGTGGTTGTGATTTGTGACATAGGTATTACTTTTTTCAGAGCCAGATTGAACAGTATACA